TAGGCATGTGCACATAACTGTTGTTGCTTTGATTCTTTGGGTGAGATCCAAGCCGGGCGACATACTTAATGAATTGGGTAATAACATTATGTGTTCGATGTGCTATTAGGATATTTACGGTCACCATGTGCGTATGTATGATGATGTCCCCGAAGTGAGTTCATGAAGGAATATTATGCTCAACTCTGCAGGTGGATTTATTCCGGCATAATATGAATGCTATGAGCGAGCGCTAGCTTCGGTAATATAATATATTAATTAATTCTTGATTATTAGTGATCGAATTAATTAATGGACATTATATCTTAAACATGGGGAGGTAAATCGGATAATTATAATAAGGAGTCTCAAATGTAATTTGGGATAGGTGAGGGGAGTGCAATAATATTATTGTGGTGGACTTTAATATTATTAATATATAGATTGTGGGGTTGCTCCACAGTAATAATATATTAGAAGCCCTTATCCTATTCTCCTTAGGGTCCCTACTGTAGCTCTATATATACAGCATTAGGCTCATGGAAGAAAACAATGAGGACAATCCCACAATTTGGAAAAACCGTCCGCCCCCTCTCTCTCTCTCTCTTCCAAGGAGTAGTTCTATTTCTTGTGTTCCACTGATACAAGATCTAGAAAGCTGTTTGAGAATACAGTAGAAGATCTTAAGGTATATAGAGATTCCAATCATACATCCAAACCGGAGACCAAAACCAGCAAGTGACCATACCACGACGACCAGGACGACGAGACGAAGAGATCGCCGTCGAGATCGCCGCCGCACGCGCCGCCACGCACCGCCGGAAGTTTCCAAAAAAGGAATGAACTCCAAAAAAAGGAAGCAATGGTACGTCTTGTTATTTATAGAATTGGCAGTCATTACACTTTTGCTCCATATTTATATATTTGTACTTGCATCTTTTTAGTCTTTTAATTCTCCATTTTGGGTTCAGGGATTGTAGGAAACAACTTTATTTTGGTACAAGTATGACTGATTTCAATTTTAGAATTTTGATTTAGATGCATTTTCCTTTCATTTTGTGGGTCGATATTGACTAATATTGTTTGGTGTGGATTTCTGTTTAGATGAATTTTACATTGCAACTGGGTGAGTTTTTACTTCTGAATTTGTATGTGTACTTAGATTATTAGATCTTTCGTATTTGTTGAGTAAGGTTGTGAAAGACGTTATAATTGAGTTTGGATTTTTTTTAACAGTTGGTTTATTGAATACTTGTTAGTATTTTTAATATAAGTAAAATAATTAAATAACTTACAAAGTAAGCATTATTTTCAAATGCAGTACAGACAGGGACGGATCTAGAAAAATAAACTAGGGGGGCAAAGTTTTTTTTTTTTTTTTTTTTTATGATAGACATATACTTAACAACAAAGATACGAAGTTGCAATTTTGGAATTAAAGAAAAAGGTTGTAATAAAAAAATACATACCTTTCAAACTTCATTTCTATTAGAATTGTGTTCGACGTTCTTTCAAGTCATGAAACCCACCAATGATTGATTCGGTACTAATAGATCTTGCAATTTCTCTTTCGATGAAGATTGTCAAAGAATTTAAAAGAAAGTCATCTTTCATTTTACTTCGAAGTCTGGATTTAACAATAGCCATAGCCGAGAATGCACATTTTCTTGTCGCCGTAGACACGAGCAGAGTGAGAATCAGTCTGATTAATCTATCAATCAACAGGTAAACCAAAGACTTTCTACTTGTTGTCATACACTAATAGATAATATAATAAATAAGATATAAATAAAAGAACTTACAAATATAATTATCCAGAAAGAAGATGAATGCTCAAATCTCAATTGATTTTTCTTTTTTTTTTTTTTCTGGTTCGCTCACTGCTGGAGTCTCTCTCGCAATTTTCTCTCAATATTCCTGTGGCGGAAAAGTCCCAATTTGGCAGCTTATTTTTCCTTTTATGTGGTCTACTTTAAATCTTTAATTATTTGTTTAATGGAATCAAGAATAATTAATTAAGCTAATTTGTTATATTAATATATTATATATGCTTGTTAAAGGAAAAGATGTGGAAGTGAGATTGGGAATTGTGCATCTTCAAAACATGATCCTATTTGACTATTTCTATTTAATAAATTATTTACTTTTATTTATACTTTACTTTATAATTTAAGGGGAGAAATAATTAACTATGTATAGGATATAATTATTATATACACATACTACTGAGAGATAAAAAAAACTTTGGGGGGGACCATGGCCCCCCCAACCATAAACGTACATCCGTCTCTGAGTACAGACAAAAATAAGTGAGTCATCAATAATTCCTCGATCATGTAGAGTGTTGATTTAGATTTGTGGCTCGAGAATCTCGCTTTGTAATATATTACGTTTCATGGAGAACTATTTTGTCTTTATTTTAACATGTACATATTATAGTAATACTTATTTTTGTTTCACAACATGCATGTAGTAGCTGGTTTTGCCATCATATGACAAGCATTTTGCTGTTGTAGAGGCCTGAGTCCTATCTGCGATTTTCCAAAGTACTTGTTTGAGCTTAAATTAGATATGTAATAACAATAGTTTGTGTATGTGACCCGCGGAATACAGATAGACATGAGTGAGCTAAAAAAACGAAAGCTATGGTAATCTTGAAGAAAATGGAATTTGTCAGAGTAATTTCGCGTTCGATTTGTCAGGTTTTTAATTTAATTTCACCATTAAAGCAGTTCGAGTTTCTGTATTCATACGATCTCGCGTTTCAGAATTGGACAATCTGTTTGTAATTTTTCCTGATATTCAGCCAAAAAATAAAAAAAATAAAAATAAAACTGTTTGTCCATGAGCAGCTTCACTGTTTCCTCTTTTTCTTCTTCTTTCCAGTAGAGCGGCGAGTCCGACGAGCAAGTTTTACGGCGACTCAGAGCAAGAGTCACTCCAATCAGTCTCTACGGCCAAAAGCAAGAATCCTTTGCCTCCATCAATCTCTCGCCGGAACATCGACACATACTCGCCGCCGCCGGCGGAGCTCGAGATGGTCTTTGCGGCGGTAGAAAAGCACAACCATAAACAATTCCTCGAAAAGTAAGCATCATGTCAAATGTCAGAAGCTCCCCATATACAATACATACAAAATATATTTGCATATGCTCTCACAATGCGCATAGTAAGGCTCTGAACACGAAAAAATACAGGCCCGGTTCATTTTATCGTAACCCAATTGATTATTTGTATTAACTGAAAAGTGCAATGGAGTAATGATTTTGTTGAATGTGGGTATTGTTTTATTTTCAGGTACAACTATGATATAGTGAGGGATATTCAATTGTAGGGAAAATATCAGTGGGTTCGTTTATACCCATTGTGATTTTTTCTAGCTGCAACAACTTATGACACACAGTAGTTTTACACCGGGTGTTAGACCGCCGTGCGTGCACGGCGTAAACCCATCTAGTATATATATATGCAATTCTAAATAATTCTATGCACACAAGGCAACAATTATTTCATGCATAAATAAACAAATAAATAATTAATGCCATAAATAAATATCCACTATTATGGCCAATTAAATATTTATTCTCCTTGGATTAGGATTTTTGTCCTAAACCAACTGG